ACAGCATAACAGATAATATACAAGTATATACGTAATCACTTGAGAGCTGCACCGGATTGAATCTAAGAACAAAATTTTGCTAAATTTTACAATACGTACGTACGTACCTACTAATTTCTTAATAAGCCCCAAAACATAAGAACAAGGACTCATTTCAAAAAATATATACAATAGAACTAAATAAAGAGTAAAAAAGTTTCACTACGTACGTACGTGACATATATATTAATCAATTCTAGAATAGATCCTATATATCGCTATATCAAACTAATCCAAAGCTGATGCATACGTCAGACTAAAACTTGTGATCAAATAACAATGATGGCGTGTACAAAATATTTATTTTTCGCTCCTTTTGCGATTTGATCAAGTGTAATATGATGAATGATTTAATTCCTGTAGTCAACAAACTCCAAGATGTTTTTAACACAATTGGTAGCGACACAGTAGATCTACCACAAATCATCGTTGTTGGATCTCAATCTTCTGGAAAGTCTTCTGTTCTTGAGAACATTGTTCAGCGGGATTTTTTACCTCGTGGTAGTGGAATTGTCACCCGTAGACCGTTAGTGCTTCAGCTCGTTAATATTCAAGATTCTGAAGATTCAAAAGCTATAGAATATGGGGAGTTTTTGCACATGTCGGATCATAAGTTTACTGATTTCTCAGAAATAAGAAAGGAAATTGAAGCTGAAACAGCAAGAGTTGCAGGGCAAAATAAGGGAATATCGAGGTCTCCGATTCATTTGAAAATATTCTCGCCAAATGTACTTAATTTAACTTTGGTTGATCTTCCTGGTCTAACAAAGGTAATAGGCTTCTTTATAAATAAATTTTAATTAATTTTTAGTCTCAACTTTATGTTTCGTTGCATACAACGCGCATAGATTCCATTGGTAGGTACAGTTATTGTCTACTTGTCATAATGTTTTAAGTTCAATATATCAAATTAAATTGTCATTTTTAGGGGATCAGCCTACAGACATTGAAAAACAAACACGAAGTTTAGTTCTTGACTACATAACAAAACCGAATAGGTATGCTTAATATCACTATAATATCCTCGAATTTGATAAGCACCAATTCTTAAACTTTGGTCAAAATTAAAAATATTCACGATCAAAATAAATAAAGTATTATTTTAGCTGTAAGCCCTGCAAATGTTGACCTGGTAAATTCTGAGAGTCTTAAGCTTGCAAAACAAGTCGATCCAGAAGGTTAGGCATACTTCAAAAGTAAAAAAAAAAATGATATCATAAGATAATAATGAATTGATTCATGTAGGCAAAAGAACTATTGGAGTTCTAACTAAATTGGATCTTATGGATGCCGGCACAAATGCGTTAGATGTTCTTACTGGTCGCGTTATACCTCTTAAGCTGGGCTTTATTGGGGTTGTGAATCGTAGCCAACAAGACATAATGGGTAATAAACCTATGGCTGAAGCTTTGAAGGCTGAAAGTGAATTTTTTAAACGACACTCAGCATATCGAAGCATCGCTTCGAGATGTGGGACACCTTTTTTAGCGAAGATCCTAAATCATGTAGGTATTTGAATGTTATTTCAAAATAAGATATTCATTAAACGAATCGACATTCTTTGCTCCGAATAAATAAAGCCAACACAATTTTGTTGGGCCGCACGTGTCATGTAACTTACTTTGAATTAAGATTCTTATGAATCATATACGGGAAAGATTACCGGATATGAAAGCTAGGATTAATACTCTCATCAGTCAAACTACGCAAGAACTCTTGTCTTATGGAGATCCTGTACTTGACGAAAAGACTAATAAAGTGAGTCATTTAATTGCAATAATTTTCCTTGCGGTGCAAAATTTTTTATATCTGACCTGTACCTCCTTTACTCGTCCAGGGAGCATTAGTATTGAAATTAATTACTAAATTCTCAAATGATTTCATTTCATCGATTGATGGTACCGCATTAGATATATCGACAAAAGAATTGTACGTGACAAATTATTGTACAAGAGACCATATTTTTACATCAATTATTATACTAACTGTCGGTAATATATCTTTGAAATTCATAGATGTGGAGGCGCAAGGATATATTATATTTTCAATAATATATTTGGCGCAGCATTGCAATCCATTAGCCCATGTGGCAATCTTTCAGTACAAGATATTCGAACCGCTATTCGAAACTCTACTGGCCCAAGGCCATCTCTATTCGTACCGGAAATTGCATTTGATCTTTTGGTTAAGCCCCAGATTCTTTTACTCGAACAGCCAAGTTTAAGGTGTGTTGAACTTGTGCACGAAGAGTTGGCGAAGATATGTCATAGTTGTGGAAGTCAGGTATTTTTAATTATAAATTTAAATTTTATTTTTATATAATATAGCAAATAAACGTAATTATTATTATATTAGGAACTTGGCCGTTACCCACGGTTACATGCTAAACTTATAGAAGTTGTTTCTGATTTACTTCGTGAAAGACTCAACCCTACTACGTCTTATGTGGAAAGTTTAATCAGTATTCAGCGTGCATATGTCAACACCAATCACCCAGATTTCATTGGAGGTGCGGGAGCCATGTCAGACCTCGTAAAAAAAAGTGAAAAGAAGAGAAGAGAATTCGAAAAGCTTAATAAACGGGTAAGGGGAAGGGAGGCTACTTATCATTTTGACGTACGTCTTGTTAACACTATATTCAAATAGGCAAACATGAGTGGTAATACTACACATACTTCAACACTGAGCGGGTCGGCAATTTCCAGTAATGATATCCAGGATGGTTTACCATTTTCAGATAAAGAATCTAGTGGCTCTAAAGATATAGGCTTACAGAATGGCGTCAGCAATTCCTCACGTGAATCTTTTTTGACTTACTTCTTTGGGACTGGTAATAAAAGTGATAGAACGGTATTGCCAGATCAACCATTACCTATTAGAAATGGTACATCCGCTAAGACCGGAATAGACATGGGTGAATTGGAAAAAAAATTAGATAATGTATGATACACGCGATCTTTTTTTTCTAATATTTTTTTTTTTTCATGATGCAAAAGATGACACCCTTTTGATTTTAAAGGGTGCGATTATCGATGATGCCGTTCATCTGACCGATCATGAAGAAATGGAGATACAGTTGATACGTATGTATACATTATATCTTTTGTTGTATATGATTTATATTGTATTTGAGTAGAACGCTTGTAATATTAATAGCAATATTTTGATATTTATAACATCTTAACAAAGGAACTCTAATCTCATCATATTTCAATATTGTACGCAAAACAATTCAAGATCTTGTACCGAAGGCTATTATGCATCTTTTGGTCAATCATTCTCGTGAATCAGTCCAAAATCGATTAGTATCCGAATTATATAAGGAGGAGCTATTTGTAGATTTATTGCAAGAGGATGAAAATTTGGCAAGCAAGAGGCAAAATTGTAAAACTATGCTCGAAGTTTATAGAAAGGCCTTCGACATTATGAATGAGGCTATGTAAATTATATACTGTACGATGTGATGCAGACATCTAATGACAGATTTATATTATTGCAACGTTCTTTACTAGAATCAGCTATAAATAATTGTATTCTCTTATGAATTAAATGTTATTTGTTAAGAAGTTATTGATAGAAAAATAAATTATCTGTAAAAAAAAAATAAAAAAAAAACAGTTGAAAATGCGTCAACTAAGAAGAGATCGATACCATAAGTTTTACGAGCACCTAACCAGAATGGTAGGTACACCAATCAGACTTCTTCAAATGATCGAAATCACATTTTTTTAAAAAAAAATCGTCGATAAACGATAATTCATTGAATACTACTATTGCCCTATTGTAATCTATTCTAACCCTAACAATATTGCATATATTAAATTATTTCAGTGTTATTATTTGGACTGTATCCATATTTTTGTGCAGATTTGGACATAGTCCAATCATATTTTTTTACAACACTGAATTGTTTTGATTATTTATAGAGTGTTCAGGGGTAGAATCTGCGCGGAATTCTGCTTTTGGCCTGCAGATACAGAATTTTTCTAATAAATGATTGGTTAACAAATTTAGACAAAATTAGATATCAATTGTTTTTTGTTACTAATAAAGTTAAAGTTTTTTTATTATTATTAAATTTTTTTTATTATTCTTTACCAAAACTTTTAACATCAACAATATACACTACAGACATATTAATTCTAATTGGTATAGTTCTCTTACTAATCTTATAACAGATGAAAAAGTACTTAACACTATTAGAAACTTATCTAATAGAAAAGCTTGTAGTCTCACAGACATTAGCTATAAGATGCTCAAACATTTTAGCCCAACTTGTTAACAAGCTTTCACTGCATTATTTAATCATTGTCTTATCTTTAGTTAAATACCTAAACAATAGAAACATGGTAGAATTTACTCTATTTCTAAACATAACATCTTTGATGATAATTTTAATCTTACAAGATCTATCAATCTTGTAGAACACACTTGTAAAATTTATACTAAAATTCTTACCAACAGACTTAATACAACATTTTTACAGTATCTTATTTTATCTCCTTTTAATTATGTTGCTCTACCTAATAATAGTACCTCTATCTTCATTTATATACTTAACAATTTCATTAAAGATGTAATTTGCAACCACAAAGACATTTGACTAAGGTCTATGACTTAGTGAATCTTACACTTCTACAAAAATTTTTAATTCATTATTCTTTGCCAATTACAATTATTAATATAATTACTAATCTATTTTTAGACAGACATAACCAAGTTATTACTAATATTGGTCTTACTTTCTTATATCCAGTATATAATGGCAGGGATATATGTTTTTGATATTTAAAGCCTTTTTTGGCATGTTTAATATCTAAAGATCTAAGTGTTCAAAGTTTATCTAAGCTTTAATAATTAAAACATTTATTTTGAAAAAACATAATTATATATTTAATAAAATTTTGAACAATTTTAATATTTAAAAATATCTAAAATGTCCAAACTTTGTTTAAAGGCTGTTTCATAATATTCCTACATAATAGTATAGACCAAGAGGAAACTATTACTTCTCTTCTTTGGAAGATCTACTATGATCTTCTTATTTTTTATATTCAGTCACACTTTATTGACTATACTGCTCAAACCTTTTGGATCACATACCTTAAAGAAAAAAACTTTAAAAAACTTAAAGCTCATTGCTTTATTCTTGTTTATATAGATAATACACTCTGGATTGCATCCTTACAAAATGAACTTTCAGACATTCTGTCTATTACTCAGTTATTTTATAAAATGGCTAACATTCAAATCTATATTTACTACCAATAATCCACTTTCTAATTACTAACCTATTACTTTTAACAATTATACTCTTTCATTTCACTTACTTAATGAACCTTTTAAATTTCTTGAATGCTAGTTTACTCTTAATAACAAATACTCTAAGTAGACCAAACTTATTATTAATAATTTTTTTTATTATATACAAATTGCATATTCTAAATATATTACTAATATATATGCATACTATATTATAAATACTATTATTATTCTAACAATCAAATATTAATTTCATAACCTTATTCTTAGTCAAAGCTTCTGCAAGAAAATTCTTATTCACTATATTGGTTTTGTTAAGAAGAAAGCCAAACTCAGTAGAATTATTCAAACAACAACTCTTCTTTACTCTCAACTTTACAATATTCACAACATTTAGAATATTTAGTTACAATATTATATCTCTAACTACATTAAAAATCCTAACAACCAGGAACTTCTTAGTACCTGCATTTGTATTCGTTTATAACAGCTCCAAAACAACCTTTGGTTCTCTATAAATATTCTGGTATATCTAAATCCTAAAATTGATAGACTGAATAAATTAATTACAATTTTTAAAATTATACAACTTTTCTAATATTTTGATTTATTAATTACTTTATATTTCTTATATAATATTTTATTTACTATTACTACTAACTCTATTATTTTAGAATTTTTACTATCAATACACTCTAAATACTTTATTTTTAAAAAACAACTATCATCACTATATTCTTATTTTAGAACAATTTACTTTATATAACAACTCATATCTTTTAAGCTAAAAACACATATTGCTAAAAATTTACAAAGTTCCTAAAAGCAAATAATTACTTTGGTTCACTATTCTTAAAGATCTTGTTACTGAGCATATTTATAAACAAACACTCTATAATTATCTCCAACTTTCTGAAATTAATCATTTTAGCTTTACTACTAAATACTTTACAAAACACACTAAATCTTGGCTTATTACAATACTTCAAAATCAAATTGTTCTAGTCAAAGTACAAAGACAACCTACCCTTACTGGGCTTATTCTTATCACATACTGGGGCTATTCTATTAAGCCTTAATTTACAAACCTATATCTTACACCCTAATCAAAACTTTTCTATATAAAAACAGTCTTTTAAACTTTAAATTTATTACCAATAAGTGTATTATTCTCATCCTTATTAATCTAGCTACAAAATTTTTTAGCAAAATTAACTCAACTAATAATCAGTTAATTTTAATACTAATTTCTTAGATCTACTATATTCCATTACTATTCGACACCTAGTACAAATTCCTACTTCTAATTTATCTATACCTCTTATACAGATACTATTTTTATTTAAATCCAGTATACTAACTCAAATACTTCAAACCTTTGTCAACCAATATCATAATTCGACAGAACTTTTCTTTTATACAGATGGCTTTGTATTAGAACTTGGATCAACCCAATGCTTTATAGGGATTGGATGAGCTAAAATACAACAAAATAATATTATTAATATATTTCAAGTACTAGTAAATTCTGGCCAAGGGTGTGGCAACTTAGTATAGTTGGTAAGTTGTCGCACCTTCAAGTAGCAAGACAAGAGTTCGAATCCTACTAGCAACAAAATTTGAATTTATGGAATATGTTATGATAAAACTGTATAATATATTGATCAGGTTAGTATCTATAATTTTGATCTCACTAACTCATATTGGAAGGTTGTGGAATATAGTATAACATATGAGTTATATGAAGCTTGGATAAAGTAGCCAGATAAATCCAAGAGATTAGAAAATACAGAAGCCCACTTAGGAAGTTTCGAGTAGAAAAGTAGCACAAATTTTCGACAGCACTATGTAAAAGATTATCATCTGGAGAATCAGACACTGAAGGCAAACTGAACAAAGACCGAGTGTTTAGCAAGTACTATACCAACCAGGCTACCAGATAACTAGAGGAAAAAGGATTTATTCAAAATACTAAAGAATGCTTACTGGTTCTTTCCAGTCCATTTGAATTGGAAGTTTGGAACACCAACAGTTGGCATCAAAGTACTGTTGATAGTTTATAAAGTGGGTGCTGAGGTTTGGGTGACCTTTGCAAGAACAAAAAGTAGGTAATAGTAGGGTGGTAAAAAGCTGTAAGTACTTAGCCATAGCCTAGATGTAAGTTACTAAAAATCTAGATGATATATGTATAGGACATAAACCGTTTTAGTAGGTTTATCACAATAATTTATATGGTAGTGTGTGTCTGCTTTAAAGTTCTAAGGGGTTTTCACAACAATTTCTCTTTAGAGAGAATATCTGATAGTACTAAGTTAATTAGAGTAGTAGTATTTTTATTAATATAACAAAGTTAATGATGCTCATATAGTAGTTATTCTAGCATTTGAACCATAAGTTATAAAATATATTAGACTCCCAAGTGGTCATCTTAACATTAAAAAAAATAAATAAATAAATTCTGACCATGTTTCTTTAAAGCAAAGCTTATAGCAATTCTGTTTGCTTTAATTACAGCACCCAGAAACTATAATTTATATATATACAGACTTACAATCTGTTATATCAAATTTTAATAATACCAACTTATCATTACTTAAGCTATTATTTATTTGTATTCTATATTACTCAAAATAGTATATTCTAATCAATTTTACAGTATCAACTTATATAATCTCTAAGTTATT